TTGTAAGTACAGCATAGACCCCCTCCTTTCTCTTTCTCAGTTTGTGTAAGAGGACGGAGCCTAACAAAAACTTTAAACCTGCTGTCTCCTTCTGCTGTCTCCTTTTCATTTAATAAACTGCATGCATTGCTGTCTACAACAGGTCTTATTGCTGCTGTTGCTGCTGCTGAAGCTGTTGCTGCTGCTGCTGAAGCTGTTGCTGCTGCTGCTGAAGCTGTTGCTGCTGCTGCTGTTTCTTCTGCTGCTGCTGCTGCTGTTTCTTCTTCTGCTGCTGCTGCTGTTTCTTCTGCTGCTGCTGTTGCCGTTTCGGCTGCTTCTGTTGTTACGGCTGCTGCTGTTTCTTTTGTTGTCGCTGCTGCTGTTCCTTTTGTTGCTGCTGCTGCTCCTGCTGCTGTTGCTGTTGTTGCTGCTGCAGCAGGTGGTGCAGCTGCTTTTGCTGCTGCTGCAGATAGGCCAGGGCTTATAGAAGAATCTCTAAGAGTTTCTAAACCCCTGAAGACCCTGCCCTTATTGTAGGGTTTACTAAGTGAAGTGCGAGGTGTACGTACACCTCGGTGTCTCCCCTGTGCTGCAGGTGTTTTCATTTTAACTGCTGCATATTTTCTTCTAAAACAACTCTAATAATATCCATTAAAAGAAATAACAGCAGCATAAATATTAAAAACAAATAAATAATAAATAAATAATTAAGAAGATAAAGGCAGCTGTCTACTCAACACGCTGTCTTTTCATATAAATAAAAGAAAAAGTAATTCTGCTGGGAATCGAACGCGGGACCTCCGGGTTATGAATTTGCAGGGGGGTTTAATAAAATCCCCCAAATAAACAGAAAAGAAAAGAAAAGGGAAGAAAAAGAAATAATAATGTTGTGTATGTAGCTGGTGTGTATAGGCAGCTGTTAATAATGAAGGGGATGGGGTTGTAACCCATTAAAATATAGAGAAATGTAGAAGAAATTCAATATTTTCGTTTATTTTAATGTATATTTGAAGTATAAATAATTATTTTTATTTATTGACAGGAGGGTATAGACCGCGCGAAGCCCCAGAGGGGGGCCCCCCTTCCCGGGTGTCTGTACAACGACCCGGCCGTGATAGGGTGTATCTTCTACTATTTTCCTTCGTTTAAGAGAAATATAAACAAAAAAAATATTTACATTCGTAAAAAATATTAATTTTGTTAATATTAATACCTCTAAGTTTCTCCTTTTTCTCATATCTCTCTGCTCTGGGGGCCCCCACCCGACCGCCTGGGGGCCCCCCCCATTGGCTGTGTGTGCTCTTAGAGAAAAAAGAATTATCTGCTGTGTAATTCCTTAGATATTTTTAAATTAAAAAATAATAAATAATCTAATAAAATAAAGCTGCATTAAATATATTCAATAAAATATAGTCAAATATAGACAGGCGAACCACTAAAAAGACCTGTGCATTTTTTGGGGTGTATGCGCAGCTCAGCAGAGGCAAACTGCGCAAAGTAGAATAAATTTAATTTAATCAAATTATATATAAATAAATCTAATTTTATTAAAATTAGATCCACATTAAATTTAAATTTATTTAAATCTAGATTTATTTAATATAAATTTAAATTTACTTTAGTTTAATTTAGAGAGAGGATTGGTTTGTGTCTGCTTAAAATGTATTTGTTTATTTATCTCTATAAAAAGAATTTGTTCCTGCGTCATAATGCAGCATCGTTCTCTGTTTCTTTGTGTAGTACTTGTTTTTATCCCTTTAATTAGGGTTCGTCTCTTTCTTTTATTTGTTTGTCGGCGTCTCTCTTTATACAATATTTGTTTATTTTTCTCTCTATAAAGAGAATTCACTTCTATTAATTTGGGTTTATCTGTTTCTTTTGGTTTTAAAAGGGTTTGCTTCTGCTTAGAGACGAAGTGTCTCCTTTCTATATACAGTTTGTCTCCTCTCAGATTTCTTTTGCTTCATAAAGAGAGAAGTAAAAAGCATATTAAAATAAATAAATATATATATATATATATTAAACTTACATATATATATATATATACATATTGAAATTTGTATCTTCTTTCTTCTTTTTATTCACACAAAACAGATTAAAACATTAATCTCTAAGCCCTATACCCTAAACCCTATACCTCAAACCCTAATTCTTAAACCATAGGCCTTCATCGTTAAACCCTAAACCCTAAACCCTAGACGCTGCATCTCTTTCAAACGCAAATTTGAATGAAAAGAAAGTAAATACAGCAGAAAATATTTTTGGTTGTTCGTCTCCCTTTTATGTTTGGTGTGTCTCTGTTTATTTCTTCTGTCTCTGTTTATTTCTTCTGTCTCTGTTTATTTCTTTTAATCTGTTTATTTGTCTTGTGTTTGTTTATTTATTTTTAATCTACTTCTTCTACGAGGTGTTGCCGAGCATACTCCCAGATGAAGAGAGAAGCAGAGACATGTACATTTAAAGAGCGAATAAGCCCCAACTGCATGCAAACAAACAAACAAACAAATAGACAAATAAATGAATAAATAAATAAATAAACAAGCAAACAAACAAACAAATAAATAAATAAAGAAGTAAAACAACAAATACAAGACAAACAACACGCAGACAATTTAAAAAAAAAGAAACGAACAGAAAACATCAAAAGAAGACAGTAAATATCTGTCTCCTTTCCATCTAGCTCTGTAGCTAGCTCTCTAGCTAGCTATCTATCTAGCTAGGTATCTGTCTAGCTAGCTACCTAGCTGGGTAAATAGCTAGCTGCCTACCAGTCCAGCTGGCTGTCTAGCTAGCTAGCTAGCTAGCTAGTTCTCTATGAGTCTAGCTAGCTATCTAGCTACCTAGCTAGCAAGTTGTCTATCAGTGTAGCTAGCTGTCTGGCTAGCTGGTTAACCAGCTAGCTATCTAGCTGTTAAACTAGCAAACTAACTAGCTAGCCAGCTAGCTAGCTAGCTAGCTAGCTAGTTAAGCAGCTAGTTAGAATTAGATGTTTGTGTTTATTACCTGAGGTATCTCAACGCAATAATCAGCTGTCTTCATAAGACTAGCAGGGAGGCCTTCCTTCTCTGCTCCGAGCAATAAAGCCGTTTTCTTTGGGAATGCAAATGCATGCAAAGGCGTAGAAGAAGCAGACTGCTCTAAAGCAATAACCTTATACCCTTCACGCTTCAAACCCTCTAAGTAACAACCCAAACCCTCCCGAGACACCTGAAATATACACAATTATTAAACACAAACCCTAAACCCTAAACCCTAAACCCTAGCATAAGGCAATAAATAGAATGCACGCAATATGCATTTTATAACACCTTAGATTAACACACCATATATTACAATAAACCCTAAACCCTAAACCCTAAACCCTTAAGAACAAACGAATAAACCCTATATAATATATATAGATATATATATATATATATATATATATAATGACGCCGAACCCTAAAATATGAAAACATATTTAAACCCTAACCGTGCAACAACGCGACGCCCACAATGCCGATTCCAACGCAAAAACCCTAAACCCTAAACCCTAAACCCTAAACCCTAAACCCTAAACCCTAAACCCTTACTGCGGTGATGGGTAGCCATTGGTGTGCTGAGACGGATATATTTCTGAAGGTGGAGTCCTTCAAAACATCTAAACTGTTCACCACTAAACCCCTGCACGTACACCCCAGCATATTATATATATATATATATATATATGTATACTCATAAGATATATATATATATACATCACATATAGCATAGGGGTTTGCACGGTAAAGGCTTTAAAATGATTATTAGAGTTTAAAAGGGTTTACAAGGGTTTACTAGGGTTTACAAGGATATATTAGGGTTTACAAGGGATTATAAGGGTTTATTAGGGATTATAGGGGTTTATTAGGGTTTCTAAGGATGTATAAAGATTTATTAGGGTTTATTAGGGTTTATAAGGGTATATTAAGGTTTACAAGGGTTTATAAGGGTTTATTAGAGTATACAAGGGCTATAAAAGACATATACATATATATATATAAAGACATATATATATACATACATACATATATATATATATATATAAAGAGATATATATATATATTATATATATAAAGACATATATATATATATATTATAAATATATATAATACCTGGCCTTAAAGACTTCACAAGTGCGTGCGAGGCCACCGAGATTAGGAAGTTTGTTTAGAAGAGACGCCACAACAATTAAACAGCTTCTTTTGTTTATTGAAGCAGACAAATCGTCGTTGCGTGTTACAGACAAAGAAGAAGAAGAAGGGCACTGTAAACCCAATCAAACAAACATAAACAACTGATAATATATAATTATCAATTAAACGATAATAATATATATATATATATAGATTATATAATATTTATGTATGTATATGTATATATTTAGATATGTATACCTATATACATACGGATATATATATATATATGTATATATATATATATATATATGTATATGTATATATATGCATATATACATGCTGCTTTGGTTGTGCTACAGAGGCCCCTCTATTCTTTCTGCTAGGGTTTAGGGTTTAAGCTTTAGGGTTTAAGGTTTAAGCTTTAGGGTTTAGGGTTTAGGGTTTAGGGTTTGTGTTGTTGTACATATTTTCTTTGACAAGGCCCAGGCTCATGTTCGTTTGTCTCTCTGATGGTTTGCATGCGGTCTTCATTGTCTCCTTCTTGCTGCTGCTGTTGTGCTGCAGCCCCTGCATCATCAGCCTCCTCCTCCTCTTCAGCAGCAGCAGCAGCAGCAGCAGCCGCAGCAGCAGCAACAGCAGCAGCAGCAGCAGCAGGTGAGTTTGCATCAACTGCATGCCACTGCTTCCGCATTTCTTCTCTTACGACTTCTTTTAAAGCCACAGCAAACGCCCAAGGAGGGCGTAAATCAAAGTCTGATAAAACTGCAGGCGGGAGACGATCCCCACACGATCCCGATCCCGATCCCCCCAACCCCACAACCCCCATACCCATCAACGCAGCGTCTGCATAAACACACAGCCACACCAATGCATGCATGCATACATGCATGCATGCATCAAAGGCACAAAAAGAAGAACCCCAACTCAAGGTGGACTCTCTTTAGCTAGCTAAAATCAATTACTAGCAAGCTAGCTAGCTAGCTGCCTGCCTGTTTTTCTATATAGTATAGCTAGCTGGTTAGCCAGCTAGGTGGCCAGGCGTCTCTCAAGCTAGCTATCTGACTGTCTAGCTAGCTAGCTGTCTATTTATCTGACTGTCTCGCCAGCTAGCCAGCTGCCTAGCTAGCTATCTAGCTAGCTAGCCAGCTATCTAAATATCTAGCTGCCTAGCTATCTACAAATCTAGCTATCCGTCTAGCTGCACTTGTGCACTTCCCGCTGCTTCTGCTGCTGCTGCTGCTTCCATCCTGCTAGCTAGCTAGGTAGCTAGCTAGCTAGCTAGCTAGCTAGCTGTTGGTGTGTGTATGTGTCTGACTGTGTTGCTGCTCAGTGTCTTGCACAACCCCTGCTTCAGGAACTAAAGAGAGAAGACCCCCGTCTTGCTGCGGCTGCCAGCGAGTAAAAGCAGCAGCAACTTTGTTTATCATCATTCGGCATTCCTTAGCCTCACGCAGCATCTGCAGCAGCAAACTCAAATCATATCCGCTGCTGCTCCTGCTGCTGCTGCTGCTGCTGTTGCTGCTGCTGCTGAGGCCGTTGCTGGTGAGGCCCCCGCTGCTGCTGCTGCTGCTGCTGCTGCTAAAGAAGGTGTAGACAAGGAACTGCGCGAGGGCGCGGCAATATGCAGCATTTGATGATAGGTAAGGAATGATAGAGTTAAGCAGCTTCCTTTCAAGTGTCTCTGTTTCATCTTTTGCTGCTGCTGCTGCTGCTGCTGCTGATGATGATGCTGCTGGTGTTGCTGCTGCAGCAGCAAACGATTCGCGCTGCTGCTGCTCCATCCACTTCCGGACATGCAGCAGCAAATATCCAGCAATAGAGAGACCGCTGATAAGCACTTGTTTAGGTGCGTTATACTGCTGCAGCAGGGCAGCAGCAGCATCAGCAGCAGCAGCAGCAGCTTTTGAATCTGCTGCTGCTACTTTAACAGCAACAAACTCAACGTAATGACGCACATCAGGCGGCAGCGGAGACTGCAGCAGCTGCCAAATGCCTCTCTGCGCTGCTGCTGCTTTGTGCAGCTGCAAGCAAAAAGCAAACGAAGACAAACATGATAAAGACTGCCCAAGACGAAGCTGCAAGCGGTGGGCAGCAGAGTTCGGCATTGCTACGCGGCCCCCTATCTCTTGCTGCTGCTGCTGCTGCTCCTCATCTTCATCCTCATCTTGCTGCTGCTGCTGCTGCTGCTGTTGCTGCTGTTGCTGCTGCTTGTCTTCATCCAGCAGCTGCTGGAGGTCCTCCTCCGCTTCCTCCTCCTCCTCCTCCTCGTCGTCGTCCAGTTGCTGCTGCTGCTGCTGCTGTCCTTTGATTGCGTGTTTAAGTAGCTGCGTAAAGACAGCTGCGACGGTGTGTTGTAGATACACCTCAGCAGCACTTTGTTGGTTGTGTTTGTCTTTGTTAATATTATATATATTTCTCTGCTGCTGTTTATTAACAATACAGCAGCAAATACTGTCTAATACAGCAAGCAGCAGCAAACGAATAAATGCAGGCGTCTGCTGCAGCAAACCAAATCGATCAGACAGACAATCGGGGAGATGAGACAAAGAAGGAGAGAAGGACTCCACGCAAGGAGTCAGCAGCAAACCTCCACAAGCACGCATCTTGGTGCTGCTGCTGCTGCTGCTCCTGCTGCTGCTGCTGCTGCTGCTGCTGGAGCAGCAGCTGCAGCGGCGAACCTCCGAAAACAAAAAAGCGGAAAACAAATCAACCGAAGAAGAATCGTGCAAACCCACATTCCTGATGCCATTGCTGCTGCTGCTGCTGCTGCTGCTGCTGCTGCTGCTGCTGACGCCATTGCAGTCCTTGCTGACGCCATTGCTGCTGCTGCTGCTGCTGCTGCTGCTGAAAGGAGCAGACGCAGCAGGTGCGAGTGGGTGTTGTGCATTTGAGGTGTACGTAGAGCAGCAATCATTCGGTGGGGGTCGGGGGTTGCAGAAGGGGTCCGTTGGTTTGCTGCTGCTGCTGCTGCTGCTGCTGCTGCTGCTGCCATCCAGCAGCACGAACTCGCGGTGCAGCAAAATATCCCTCAGCAGCAAAATATAAGGGAGAGGTAATTTAAACCCCTCTGGCAATGAAGACGAAGACAAACCACCAGCAGCAAACAAAGAAGACAGCAGCGGCACTGCAGCAGCAACACCAGCAGCAGCAGCAGCAGCAACACAAGCAGAAGCACAGCAGAAACAGCGACCCATGCAGCACGGCTTATAGAAAAGGCTTATAATAAATGTCGATATAAGGATTTATAATTAGGGTTTATAATTAGGGTTTATAGTAAGGGTTTATAATGAGGGTATATAAATAGGGTTAGCAGAAAGGGTTTATGATTAGGGTTTATAGCAAGGGTTTAGTGTTTATAATTAGGGTTTAGGGTTTTAGGGTTTAGGGTTTAGGGTTTATAAGTAGGGTTTAGGGTTTTAGGGTTTAGGGTTTTAGGGTTTAGGGTTTAGGGTTTATAATTCATACAGGCGAGAGCCCTTGAGAGCCCGAGACCCTTCGCTCCTTCTTTTAGCATTTGTTTAGCAAAGGTAAGAGAAAAATTAATATCTTCTTCTTTATACACCTCAACAGCAGCAGCAGCAGCTGCTGCTGCTGCTGCAGCTGCTGCAGCAGGAGCAGCAGCAGGCGCAGCAGCAGCATAAGCATCTCCTTTCAAAGCCTTTGTTATATATACTTCAGCTTTAAGCATCAGAGGGTGCATTAATAAACAACAAACGCCGCCAGTAAATGAAGGAGAGAGAGCTGTCTCCTTTCTCTCGTTAATTAGCTGCAGCGCAGCATCAGCAAACCCTTTAAATGCTGCTGCTGCTGCTGCTGCTGCTGCTGCTGCTGCCCACGGCTGCA